CTGATTGAACAGATATTATCTTCATTTTTACTTTCCTCGCATATTGGCGTGAGTATTTTCAAAAATGAGATAATAGGTTCTTCTGTCTGTCTGTTTCAATCCATTTTTTGATGTCTTCTCTTAACTAGTCTACTATCAAAGCTGTGGGTTAATACTGGAACTGCAATAGTGTCAGTGGCAGGCTTTTGTGTTTTTGTGTTTAGGGTATAATTCCGTACCAAGTATTTTCCTTACCCTTCTACAGAGTGGCCGTTATTTAACCGACTGGTTTGTATCTTGAATATATGTGAAATGAAATAAAATATACTAAGTGACATCTAAATCCGAACACCCAGTTTGAATGCTTTTATTTTAATCAAATTTTGTATAAGTACTTAACGAAGCATAATAAGTAAATGATAAAAATTTCAAAATGATTGCACTGCTTTAAAGCCCTTTGACCTTTAATAATGTGTGGATGCACCCTGATGTGCTACGCATTCTCCAACGCGCCTAGGCATGCTTCTGATCAGGTGGTCAATGTCCTCCTGTGGTATCTCATTCCAGGCAACCACCAACTCCTCTCGCAGTGCTTCTAGAGTCTGAGGAGGACGTTGCAAATTGAGCAATCTCCTACCCATCATATCCCACACGTGCTCAATTGGGGATAAGTCGGGAGATCTTGGTGGCCATGGTAACAATGTGACATCATTATGTTGAAAGAAGTCTATTGTGACTCTTGCAACATGTGGTCGGGCATTATCTTGTTGGAAAGTTGGATCTGCCAGGGTGTCAAGATAGGATAAAAGATGGGGTTCTAGAACTTCGTGGATATAAGGCAATACTGTTCCATTCCTGATCCCAGAGTGACCGTTGTCTGCACCACTCAAGGCGATTACGTCGGTGTTCTCGAGTTAAAGGGAGGACCCAGTGTGACCGGTATGAAAACAAGCCAAAACTTCTCATTCGTCGGTAAACACTTCGCATGCCAATAGGTCTTCCATGTTCTGCAAACCATTCATTTGCAATGGACCTGGTAGTGGAGAAACGGTCCTTTAAGGCCAATAATCTTAGGCGGCGATCTTCACGGTCTGTTGTTCTACGGCGGCGTCCAGTGCCCCTTGCTCTTTGCGTACGGCCTTCTCGAAGCCATGCCTGACAACACCTAACCACAGTGAAAGAAAGTCCAGCTTCCCGAAGTCCCACTATACGGCCCCTATCAAACTCACTAAGTTGACGAAATCGTACAGGTCTCCGTACTCTAGGCATCGTAACCGAGGTTATTCTGTCTGTCTGTTTCCTCATGTAAGAAGTTTCCTTGTTCTTCAATCCATTTTTTGATGTCTTCTCTTAACCAGTCTACTGTACCAAAGCTGTGGGTTAATACTGGAGCTGCAATAGTGTCAGTGGCAGGCGTTTTGTTTTTAGGGGATAATTCCGTACCAAGTATGTTCCTTACCCTTCTACAGAGTGGCCGTTATTTAACCGACTGGTTTGTATCTTGAATATATGTGAAGTGAAATAAAATACGTCCATTTTTCTTCATCTTAATCTTTTATAGAAACTTAGAAATTATGTATGAATAATAATATCAGACAAATGTCCTCCTCTAGAAGAAGGCCAAACCTGAGCCCGCTTCCGTAATATTGTTCTTCAGCTGGTCTACTGTATTTGGTTTGTTGGCATAGAAAAGTCAGCAGCCGTTAAATCCGGTGACCTTGGTGGCCAGTTGACATCACCGAATCGAGAAATTAAATGTCCCGGAAATATTGTTCGAAGAAGCTTCATTGTTCCCTAGCTGTGCGACAAGTTGGTCTTGCAATGCAAGTCTTTTTTTAAAATAGTGCATAATGTCGTGCGACGAATACCCAGTTCTTGAGAACGATGTCTGGTAGACGTGTCAGGGCGCTCTTTCACGAACTCTCTATTTTCCGCAGTACGAACACGGCCGACCTTGGCAAGTCTTTAACTTTACCTGTTTGCTCAAATTTCCGAACCAACTGACGAGTGGTGTTGACATTGAGCACATTACTTCAACCGAAATCTTGTCGTAGTTTCCAAATCGTTGCAACCATCGACTCATTATTTAAGTAAAACGTTTTAACAATTGGACACATGTGCTTCAAACAACTACTACTGTATAATACTCCCTCTGAAGCTGTGCCATTATTATTCTTATTATCACACTATTTCACATTTCTAGCCATCGTCGTAGAGCTTATTTCATCAGCGTCTATCTTCGGAACATCGTTTGCACTCGCTACCACCTTGTGATGATTTTTGGTCAACTTTTGCATCCCATGAGTCACTAATGCATCATCCACCTACTCGCTAGACTGAGTACAGTTGTTATCAAAAGCAACGCATACACGTGGGCAGTCTCCATTTGCGTGTCCTAATCAAGCCACTTAACATCGTCTTCAATAGAAAAAAATTGGGTTAAATTAATATAACCTCATCTCACCAGCACTGTGTATGGTTATATTACGAAACAAACAATAAGGTTAACGACATGTCAAAAGTAAATATGGAGTCAGTCACTTGTCGGAACTGTTCTAGTACAATTTTGTGTACTATTTTTATACTGTGGAACTAGACATATGTTTATGTTTCGACAGCAACAGTTAGTTTTTATTAGCATGCCATTCAGATGTCGCTATACGTCCTTTACTGGCTGAATGAGGATGTAGAATTTTTCACGCATATAATGTTTTTTTTAATGAGGCAAGGTAAAAATTTGAATAGTTCGTATGTTTGAATACTCGTATTTGAAACCCGTACACACAGAGATCTTCACGCTAAATTGTCATTTTCAGAAAAACTATCATCCTACATCTGCAGCAAAGGCCTAAGATTTATGCCAGAACTAGAAAACATTCTAACGCAGCATTTAGCATCCAGTATTAAAAAAATGGTTTCACAAAAACCCAACTTCCCAATTCATTCTTTTTAGAAAGCGTTAGTCCGATTGAAGTACAAGAAGCTGTCCTATCACTTAAAACCAAAAAAAGTCCTGGTGTAGATGGTATCAAAACCATTTAAAAATAATAGCCTACGACTTAGCCGAACCACTTTCTTACGTCATTAATTGGTGTTTCCAATCTGGAATTTGTCCTGATGCATTTAAAACAACTGTTATAACTCCTGTTTATAAAAGCGGTGACAGCATGGAAACATCAAATTATAGACCCATATCAGTACTATCGAATATAGCCAAAATTTTCGAAAAATTACTACAAAAAAGGATATTACAATTTTTGGACAAAAACAAAATTATATGTTCTGACCAATATGGATTTAGAAAAGGAAAATCTACTACAGATGCAATTTTGGCTGCAATGGATGAAATTAACTCTAATGTCAACAAAAAGATACCTACTATTGGTATCTTTGTTGATCTAAAAAATGCCTTTGATACGGTTAACCATGTCGAGCTTCTGAAAGTTAGGGAAAGATTGGGATTTAGGGGAGCGTCACAAATCCTTTTAAAAAATTACCTTTCAAGTCGGGCACAGACTGTCAAAATCACTAACACTTACAGTAAAAAAATGTACATCAAGTGTGGTGTGCCTCAAGGAACAGTACTAGGCCCACTATTATTTAGTTTCTACTTAAATGACTTATTCAAAATTAACAGTTCTGGACAGATTATATGTTTTGCAGATGACACCCTCGTATTATATAAAGCTGATGACTGGAGCACACTGAAGCAAATAGCTGAACAGGATTTTATAAGGATCATTGACTGGTTTGATAGTAAAATTTTAACAGTTAACTTCAAAAAAACAAAATTTATTGCATTTACATCCTATTCAAAATTTTTACCTACCTTCGAACAAATTTCCGTTAATTATCATGGCCAAAAGACCAAAATCGATAGAGTTAACACTTTGAAATATCTTGGAATATTTATAGACTCACATCTAAGGTGGGATAACCATATTAAATATGTTATAAAAAAATTAGAAATTTTGCATATAAATTCAAAATGCTTGCTAACATTCTTACAGAAAGTTATCTGCGAATCCTATACCATGCCTTATAATATACGGCATCACAGCCTGGGGTGCCGCCTGCAAGACATATATTTCTGACCTGAATATAGCACAAAAAACTGTTTTGAAAGCCATTTTCCATAAGCCAAGATTATATCCAACGAACAACTTATATCAAGAAACAGGGATACTTGATACAAGACAACTCTACTTATACCATAAGTATTGTAATAAAAAGAAAAAATCCTATAAACACGAGCATAACTCACGATTCGAATAGGCTCATCTAATATCCAAAGACCACACAAAACATTATTCAAAAAATCATTTAAATTCTTAGCAGCTAAATTATATAATGTAGTACCAAACGAAATAAAGATACTTAATTTTGGAAAAAAATTTAGAAGAAAATTGAAAGACTGGGTTAGTAATGTGCAGCGAATGACCATACATAATTATATAGAAAACTAAAACTACAAAATTCCAATTACATTAATACCTTTTAGATTTAACAATAAAATTGTTATACACATATATGATTGATTGTTAGTTATTAAGATATAAACCACACACAGGCGATGCCTTCTGTGGTTTTTTCATATTTATTTGCCCATTTTTTGTATTTTGGCGAATAAATATTATTATTATTATTATTATTATTATTTAAACAAACAAAAAGCCATCAAGGCCATATGGCTGGCTGTATGTCTCGTCTATATCAACTGTATCTTTGCAATATTGTATGCAATGTGTAGACAAATACACTTTTCAGAATGTCTCATCAGAATGGCTACAAAATCAAGAAGGCATTAAGTGGGATTTCGTTCGGAAACCTGACAGCAGCGTATCAAAAATACGTCGAAAATGTCATGGACAGCAATAGAGATGGGCCATACTGAAAGTGTTGCCGTATGTTGTTGACTACTACTGCAGCTATATAATACAGGAAAAATATTGCCCTCTTACAAGCGTCATAAGGACAAAGCATGAAAGAGCTTACTGTTACGCTTCAGCTTATTGTATCACAGCCTTCTCTCTCTCGCTTGCTGTCTCTCTCTCTCCATCTCTCGATCTCTCCACCTCTGCCGCTCTCCATCTCTCCATGTCTTCTGTCTCTCCATCTCGCATCTATCTATCACTCTATCTATCTCTCTATCTCTCTATCTCTCTATCTCTCTATCTCTCTATCTCTCTATCTCTCTATCTCTCTATCTCTCTATCTCTCTATCTCTCTATCTCTCTATCTCTCTATTCTCTATCTCTCCATCTCTCTATCTCTCTATCTCTCCATCTCTCTATCTCTCCATCTCTCTATCTCTATCTCTCTATCTCTCTATCTCTCTAGCTCTCTATCTCTCCATCTCTCCATCTCTCCATCTCTCCATCTCTCCATCTCTCCATCTCTCCATCTCTCCATCTCTCCATATCTCCATCTCTCCATCTCTCCATATCTCCATTTCTCCATCTCTCCATCTCTCTATCTATCATCTTTCTATCTGTCTATCTATCTCTTTACATCTTTATCTATCTCCCTGTCTTTCTTTCTCTCTCTCTCTGTAGATGCAAAATACTAATACTATTTTTTAGGAAATACTCCATTACAGCAGGATGAGGTACGCAATAAAAGTAATGACATATCAATAGTAAATATAAAGAGTCAGTCACTTGTCTCACTGTATTTTTATGTACGATTTTTATGTAGGATCTGATGAATATTGATGTTCTAAAAATAGTAAGTTTTATTAGTATTTCATTGACATGTGGTTTTTATTGGTCAATTTAAACATTGTGTTTGTATACAGATCCTAGGCTCGGTGCTCTATTTTTATAATTTATTTGGAATGTGGACATTGTACTTCGGTTCAACTGCAACATCTGGCACTCATCAGTCTTGTTAAATGATGACTTTTCGGCATACGGTATTTTATTTCTCGAATTCTAGTTACAGCAATTTGAAGTGCACGTGAATTATTCGGCAGTTGGTATAGCCAAGAAGGCTAAGATGTCTTCTTGCCTACATACTAACAAAAGTATAAACTGAAAATATTGATGAAGTCATGTAAACACCTTAATATATTCATAGAGTGTCACTAGCTTTCAAATGGCTGCGTTGTACTCATAGACAAGATCTGATCTTTTTCTTGGAGATGATGCGACTTGGCTATCGAAGTATGGTATATCTGAAGTCACTTGAAATAGCATAAAAACCTTTGGTCGGCGCGTCCCTTGTAATTTCATGACGTATCATAGGCGTGAGGATTTACAGGAGGCAAAACACAATATTCATTTTCTTTTTCAATAATATGCCTAGAACACTGCTTCCATAGGTCTGTGGCAGCAATATGAGACACTGCATCTCTTATTGTGGCCAATAGCGTTTCACTTAATTGAGCCCTGACCAACTCAATCGGGTTAAAAATGCAGTAATAGGGAGGTAGACGTAATACTTCATGGCCATTTTGCTGAAGCAGATTGTTAACAACATACTCTTTTTCAAATTTTTGTCTTTTAATAAGATCCAATAATATGGCTTTGGTTGATTTTTGTGGTATTTCCATTCCCTTATCCTTCATAAAATTAATAATGTCTTGTTTTTTTGTGCCTGTATTCGGAATTTTGTTTTTCTGTCGGGAATGGTATGGCGCATTGTTCATAATAATCACTGAATTTGAGGAAATGTTTGGTATTAACTGCTGCTCTATCCACTTTTCAAATAAGTCGGAGGTCATGTCCTCATGATAGTCGGCACATGATTCTTTGATATTTTTGGCAGATAACAGCAAGGCATTAGGTATAAATCCATTTTCACTGCCAGCATGGAGAATAATGATTCGTTTTCCACGATTGCATGGTGCATTTAAAATGCACTTGTTGCTGTCGTCAACCCAGCCGTACTGCACAACATCATGGGTATCATACCACGTTTCATCCAGGTAAATCAGATTTCTTTTCTGCTCTCTATAGATTTTAACTTTGTGCAAAAATTCTTGGCGCAATTCAACGATTCGAGACGACTCCATAATCACCATTCTTTTATCTAATTTTTTGTATTGAAAACCACACAGTTTTACAATACAGTGCAGTGAGTCTAAGCATTTGTAATTATAAAAATCTTCAGGATAATCTTTTAATTTATCCCGTATCATTTCCAACGTGGGCACCAAATTTTCTTTATAAAATCCGTATATTATACGACGAATATCTTCCTGAAAACCCACGTCTATTCTTTTTAATTTTTGCCCTATGCGCTTTCTGTGGAAGGAATGGTTGACTACATCTCCCCTTTTTATAACCCGATAAATGGTAGACCGACTGACTTTTGTCAGGATACAAATTCTGTTTAAAATTTGATTTTGCGAGGAATCTGGATTTTCGTTTTTCAGACAATCATACATATTTAGGATTACTCTTTGGGTCTGTTCCTCTAAATCTTTATGAAAGAATTCTGCCTGCACAGGTTCATCAACCATCTCCTCGTGGCTTGGAGCATTTTCCCAAGGTCTCCAAAGAGCCATATTTAGGACACACAAGAACAATCAACACAACAATTAAACCAACAAGTAAACTGAGTATTCAAAAGTCAAAAACACACAAACTAATAAAATCTATGAAAAAACACGGACAGACTAAAGAAAACACGTTTATTCGCCGCTACACGGCACTGGCTAAACTGTTTCAATTTTCAGTAGCCACCTGCACTTGTTCCGAGCTCTGAAATACACGCTTTCTCATTGGCTATGTCCACGCATAGGCGTGCTTTACTCCACGTGGACCGGTGAAACTGCCTTTGATCTTATCTTGATCTTGATCTTATTTGCTGCGAAATTTGGCAATTTTTGCAGCAACAGAGCGTGTTAAATATAGATATATAAAACGCACCCGGTATTTCACAGTGTTTCAAGTGACTTCAGATAAAGTATACATAACATGAATATGTACTTATATACAGGGAAAAGCGCAAGAAGTGTATATCAACACAAGTTAGAAAGAGATAGAAGCCGGCTGAGAAGCGAAGATCATCACCACGTTGCCTAGCAACGGTGACGCAAAAGGTCGTGCAATCTGCAGCATTGTTACACCAGAAAATCTTCGCACAAGCTGCTGAAGTAGGTTAGGCCCTGTTCGAACATTTAATTTAATATTTTTTTTTCATTTTGGATTAGAACTATTTATTTCAATTTTGATGCTACTTGGTATTATAATTTATTTTAGACTTATCTTTGGTTTCATTGATTTTTAGAACGCAAGATGTGTCCCATCATCTTGCCAAGTAACAACAAAATTGGAGTATATTGGTCAAGTAGTTTTTTGAGAATTTTTAATTGTTTATCCCTAAATACCTATTTTCCGGCCATCACTACTAGTTTATTGAGCAAATACGGGGTTAGTTTTAAGAGCATTTCATAGCAAAATACACCAAATGAATCACAAACCGTTCCGAAAGATAAATGTTATTTTTATGCGAAAATCGAAGGTTGCGTTTTTTTCTTCTAAACAAATTCAAACGTTTCGTCTTTGTGAGTAATTGAACAAATACGCTACAATATTCGAAAAACATACGTTACTATACACATTTTAAAACAAAGCGAATGTGTCTAGCATCTGTTGTTGCGAATTACTCACAAATTCGAAATGTTTGATTTTGTTTAGAAGAAAAAAAGCAACCCATCTTTTTTTAAAAATAAGACTTATCTTCCAGAATGGTTTCACTGATCAACAGCCAAAAAATATCCTAAATAAAATCAACAAAATATTACTATTTTTAATGTGCTAAAACCGGAATGAAACATATTTTTTCAATATTAGTTCAACTTTTAGAGATACGGTAATTATATGTGTTCCTGCTGTGACAGTGTTAATATACTGTAATTCACAAGAATGCACCTGCTACATTTTTATATTCGGCAAGGAAAGATGATGTAATCGGCATGATTGTGTTACGTTATACATACGTGTACATTATATTGTTTTATATTAGCCATTTTTTCCTCAGTTGGCTGACAGCGTTCATGCAAGATGTCTCGAAAGTGTGTAAACAATCCAGATCAGTTTTGTTACGTGTGTGGTGATGTGACTTTTGCGTCTCAGAGACTATTACTCCCCTAATAACAAAGGCATATCAGCTTTATTTCGGTTGTAAACTAGGTGATCAAGACAAACAGTGGGCACCCCACATCTGCTGTAATACATGTGCTTCAAGTCTGAGGAGCTGGTTAAATGGCAAAAAACGGTCGATGCGCTTTGCTGTCCTAATGGTTTGGAGAGAGCCTACAAATCATATTAATGATTGTTACTTTTGCATGGCACCTTGTGTTGGACAAGCCACAGGTATGTCGAAGAAAAAATCGGTTATTAACTACCCAAACATACCATCTGCGATGAGACCTGTGCCTCACAGTGACGAAAATCCTATTCCAAAAAACCCAGAAGCCTACACTTGCGAATCAGAAAACGAATCAGATCATGACGATCGAGTGATTCGTCAGGAAGAAGATATGCCATCAACGTCAAGAGATCCTGATTTTATACCGAGCATGTCATGCCACCAACCGCACAAAATAACACAGTCAGAATTAAATGATCTTGTAAGAGATTTAGAACTTCCAAAATGTAAGGCAGAGTTACTTGGATCAAGACTGCAGCAGTGGAACTTGTTAGAAGATGATGTTTCGGTATGTGTTTTTTGTAAACGCCACAAAGACAGAACCATTTTTCAATATTGAGAATAACTTCGTTTTCTGCAGTAACATTAACGGCTTACTGGCGGCTTTAAATATAAACTATAACCCAGAAGAATGGAGATTGTTTATAGACAGTTCAACATTGAGTTTAAAGGCAGTGTTATTGCATATTGGAAATATTTTACCATCTCTTCCTGTAGGGTATGTAGTTCACATGAAAGAGTCATATGACAATATGAAGTACCTATTGACATGCATAAAATACCATGAGCACCAATGGCATATTTGTGGCGATTTGAAAGTTGTTGCACTTTTACTTGGGCTGCAGCTAGGCTACACAAAGTTTTGCTGTTTTTTGTGTGAATGGGACAGTCGGGCAAAGGCACTTCATTACACCAGACAAAACTGGCCTGTTCGTCATTTCCTAGAGCCAGGTCAAAAAAATGT